AGTCAAGTCAATGTTTATTTATAAAGCACCTTTAAAAGACAGCAGTCAAACAAAAGTAAATTAATAGATAGATAACAATAAAAAATAAAATTAAAAACAGTAGAATAAAATACAGACAGTAAAAGAATAAAAGCTACAGTGCCTTTAAATCCTGTGTGCTCATTTATTAAAAGCAAGGGAGAAAAGGTGGGTCTTTAAAGATGATTTAAAAGACGCTAAGGTCTGAGAGGCTCTAATATGGCCAGGTAAACTGTTCCACAGTCTAGGGGCAACCGCTGAAAAGGCCCCGTCACCTCTAGACTTGAACCTGGTTTTTGGGACACTCAACAGTAACTGGCCAGAGGACCTTAAGGCTCTGGCTGGGGAGTGATGATACAGGAGCTCTGACAGGTAAGGAGGGGCAACACCATTGAGGGCTTTAAAATCAATTAAAAGAATTTAAAAATCAATGCGGAAGCGGACTGGAAGCCAGTGAAGGGTCACTTAAATTGGAGTTAGGAGTTATGTCACAAAATTAAATGTCAAAAGACAGCAGGGTGAGATTTTAGTTGCTCAGGGGTGCTGGCTTGCCTTGTGGTTTAAACATGCACCATATACTGAGGTTATAGTTCACAGCCCAGTGGTTCCTTGCCACAACCTTTAGCTGCATGTCTACCTCTCACTAGCGCAAGTTGTATGGAGACCTGCAGCGGTCACGGGTTCAAGTCCAGTCCGACCATGTGCTGCATGCCCACCCCCTCTCTTCATCTCTCCACATTTAACACTGTACTATCATTAAAAGGCAAAATCGCCCCAAAAAATACTATGTGTGCTTGGACAAACATTGTCAATGATAACCATTTCAATTAAACGAATGCCGAACAACTCGGGTTCATAAACTGACAGCTTGGCAGTGACAGCTGATTAAACTTCTGTTCCTGTGAGGTGAGTATTGTACATGGACTGGTTTTTATCTCTGTTGGCTCCTCTCCTTCCATCTGTTATGTACTGTAAGAGTGTGTAGGCAAGGCAACACAATGTCTCTGAGGAAAGGTTTGTAATCAGCACTTTGATATCCAAGTTTTCCAAACAACAGGAGACAATAAAACTCTAAAGAAGCCAAATCATCTCTGCCAAACACGTGGGCCCATAAAGACTCCAAACCTCACCAAACTCGCACCAGCAAACCGCCTCTAAACATGAAAAAAGTGAACTAAATATTTCTCACTGTCTTCTGTATGGAGGTCAAACTGTTCACACACTCTTAGAACTATGATAATGCTTTATTTCATGATCCTCATGAGGACTGGAAGACCTTTTGTTGAGGGATATGAAAAGAAAATTTGATGGCAATCTCTGGTATTAAAAGGCCCATCACTGTAATGAGCAGGGGGCATGAAAGGAAAATGAGCTGTGAGAGACTAGGGGATAGTAATGTCAAGGCAGGGACAATCTATTGTCTTCTTCCTGTGATGGGGGAAGAATTTCCCTGCTGCTTTAATCAGAATAGCACTACACAGACACATACACACGCACGCGCACACAAACTCAAATTGCTCAGCCGATTTTTAGCCAGTGGGAAAACACTTACGAGAATATCCCAGGATGTGGTAAAAACCAAAATGATGCAACAAACCTTTGATGAAAGTTTAATTTTGTTGCTATTTGAGTCCTGCTGCTGTATTTTTTCTACTCATTAGCAGTTAAGTAAATCACAGAGGAGTTATTTAAAGGTGATGAGAAAAGAGAAGCGAGGAATGAAATATTAACGCATCTTAAAAGGACAAACTGTCTCAGTAATTGTTCTTGTCCTTGAATCCAATATATGCTACATACATCCAATCTACGCCCCAAATACATCCCTGTTGCTGCATGCTTGGGCCATGCTTCGAATAAATTATAAATGTCTGGAGAGAAGTGGATTTTTTTTATGCAATTTATGACACCCAAATCTTTTGGTGCACTAAATTATTCATATATTCAAATGAATCTGACTTTGAGGACATTTTTTCCTTTCTTCTCCTCTTTCATGAATTTAGAGTGCACCCTTCAGAGCCATCGGGTAAGAAATTGCCGAGACTATTAATGGCAAAGGTTTAAGTAAAAAAGGGAATTCAAAAGGTTTCAGTCCACTTCCGGGCTCCCTGGTTTTGTACTTTGATTTCTGGACATAGGTGTTTTTTTTGTCCCTGCCCGTTTGTCCTCACATGGTGGATGTTTTTTGACACTGCGCCAATATCGTCTCTCCATCTGTCTCATTGTTATTCCGGACATGTGCACGCCTGTCAGGCTGCTGTCCTGAGTGTATGTGTGAGTGTGTCGCTGGTGTGCTTCAGTGTGTTTCCTCTGCTCCCTGCCCTCAGATCTGCGCGGCTCATTTCGATTGGCAGGACACGGCCATAAGACGAAAAACACTGTGCTTCAGTCAGCGCATGTTAATTGGTTCTTATGTGATTTTGGACATTTTTGAAAACCAAAGAGAAAGAGTTGAGCGTTAGTGTTTCAGTCAAGATTACAGTGATGATTAAGTCAGCTTTCATCCTTGGATTTTGTCCATTTTAGCCTCTTAATCACAACTTAACTGGCTCACATTACCAAAGTTAAAGTCTGCCTTGAAATGCATTGAAATACAAACTTCAAACATATTTGCAGCTACACTTTGGCACTATCCTGCCTGTTATCCTAAAGGTTTTCTTTCCAGTTTGGCAGAATGAGTCTGTCAAATCCCCAAACATGCACAGAGCCCACACTCAGTTGCACCCCCCCTCACTCCCGCTTGTCTCCCCTTATTAACATGCAGTACACAGACACTGCTGTCCTCACAAGGGCAGCACAAGCATGGCACAGAGTCAGAAACAGACTGGGATATCAGGGAATGACATGGAATTGGCGGCCACGCCTCCTAGGATTAGTGACAAAAGCGTACTGGGCCAAAGCTCTTATCTGCATCCTTCAGTCCTCTCTCTCTCTCTTACACACAAAAACATACAGGCAACAAATAAGACACAAGAATTCTGGAGTTTGGACGGGGACAAGCAAATACACTTAAAAATTCATGAATTGCTTTGCCAAACATATTTCTCCTCCACATGAATGAGGAACTGTGCGAGTGAGATGATTCCCTGATATGGTTTTGAAACGGTCCTCTTGAGTTCAATTAGAAGATAGTAATTACTGGACTAATTAAAGAAATAGGCAGATTTCCTTTCCTTCGTCTTTTATTTCATCATTGCCAGCTCCTACAAATCTGTCTTCTCATTGGGTGACACTTTTATAAGAACCGAAGAATCCCTGACCTCCTCTTTTGGCTTGTACAAATTGATGCTAGGCATGGGCTGTTTGAGAAAACCAGATTTGGATATGAAATTAAGTCAACTTACTCTCATCAGTACCCTCTCTGCTCCCCACTGCTGCTATTCCCCTGGTGCTGATGTCAGCGGGCAGATGGCGGCAGGCAGACACATCTGTGTGGGAGGAGGAGGAGGAGGTGGAGGCACTTTTTCCTCTTCACAGAGCAGGGACAGGTGTCATCTGCCAAAAAATTTACATCTTCATGAATACCATTAAGGTGCTAACGAGCCCAAACACAAGTCCACGATCCATTATCAATTATTTTACATTAGTTGTTTTTTCTAAAAGCAAATTTGACTCAGTTTTGATGTTTTGTGAAATTTGGGGTTGATTGACCAGACGTTACAAAACTGGTGTGTGAGTAACTTCTTTAAAAAAAAACACGACATTAGGAAAATTGATGCTAGTTGTATGATAGAGGCGACATTGCTGGAAGATTCACTTTTGAATATTTACCATCAATGTTGAAGCTGGTCTGCTAATCTGTCATTCAATCTTTCAGTCAGCAGGTCCAGAATGAAATGCCTCTAAAATTACAAGTTAGATTGGTACTGAGACATTCATTATCACCTAAGGATAGATCTAATGTCCTTGGTGTCCATCTCATTTTTAATCTAGAGCCACCATTTTGATTAGCTTTGGTGGTTTGCAAGAAAAACAGACGGCAGATATTCAAGACCTTGTTGAAGAGCTCAGGGGCAACAGATCTGGTTTGCTCGGCTCAAAGACTGAACACTATACAGGATGGGTTTCTGCAGTTGAAGCTATCCCCAAACTCACAAAGGCCCTTTTTTTTAAAAATCTGCGCAATGTTCTGGGCCCCACCCAAACTTTTCTCACAGCTCAGATCAACCAGTGAGACACATTTACTCAGACAGTGCTGTAGCACATCCAACACATCGACCCATTACAGTGTCTTCTGGCACCAAAAAAAAAACCAAGATGGCAACACTTGCATTGCTGTACTCAACGCTTAAATTAAGTTAGGCTAGAGATAACACTTATTGAGATGTTACACAGCATCCTAACGGTTTGAAATAGGTTTGTACTTTTAGAAAAAATCATTGTGTGATTTGTCTTAAAAAATATTAAGTCAATACAGCATGTGGCAGTTTTACATGACAGAAACACGGCACCATTAAGAAACATACTATTAAAAAATCAATGGAGATCTGGGGGAGACAGAGAGGGAAGAGAAAACGTGAGCTTCAGCACGAAGACAGGCTGAGAAATTGAGAGATGCTCGTCTGTTTCTTTTCTTCCCAGCTGCCCTTTCTCGTTCGTCTGCCAGTTTGGGGTCTGCCCGCACAAAGACAGTCACTTATTGCTCACCACTGGATACTGTCTGCTGACGCACTTTGCCGAGAGCAGAGAGCAGGGCCACAAACACTAAACAGAGGAGAGTAAAAACAAAGGATTGATCATGTACACAGGGAGGGATGTATGAGGGGGCGTGCATGTAATGAAAAACATTGATTTATTGATCAATTATCATTTGTTTAACCGTATACCATTTGTCTGCCTGTGTTAGCTGAGTATTGAACAGCCTGTTAACTGTCAGCAAAATTTGCTCTATGACAATGAAGAGAATAGATTTATCTGATGACTAATAGGGTCGTTATTGAGAGGTGATGAGCAGCAGAGAGAAGAGAGGAAGGGCAGAGTCAGAGGGAGTCGCAACAAAGAGGAGGAGGGGATTAGAGTGAGCATTGCTCCCTTTTTTCTCCCCTTTTCATCACTATCAGTATCTTTCCTGAGTCACAACCTCTCAGAAACAGATCTTGTGTATTCATGTTCCCCTTTTGAATGTGAGCTCATTCATAGAGAGGGTTCACGTCCTAGAGTGTCTACTCCAGCCCGTAGTGTCTGTGGTGTGCGTGTCATTGAATGAAAGAGAGGAAGAGAAAGAGAGCGAGAGAGAGAGAGAAAGAGGGGGAGTGAGCAGGCAGACTCGGAGGGAAGATCTCAGGGGCAACAGATCTGGTTTGCTCGGCTGAAAGACTGAACACTACAGGATGGGTTTCTGCAGGATGTAAAGGCGCATAAGGAGCTGCCACAAACACTGAAAAGGTCTGTAACTCTTCTTTTTTTTGTCACTTACTGGCTGCTTTAAAATGTAAACGTGAAACGACATGAGCAAAATATTTTTACAGAGAGACAGAGCAGAGATAGGGTAATTGTTAAATGCAAAGGGCCGTTATTTTACTCAAATTGACTCTGTGTTATAACCGTTTGCAGAATTTTAGTTAGCGACAAAAACTATTGACACAGAGAAGAGAAAGATGAGAAAAAGTTAGAGGGGAAGAACGCACGAGTCGGTTTCATTCACAAACTCCAGAAAAAAAGCGGGCTTCTTCAGTGGCGGTTGAGGAAAGGAGGGAAGGAGCGGTTGGTGATGAGTGAAGTAATTGTTCTGCCAAATGGGAGGGAAAAACAGGAGAACATGAAGTGTGAGACTGGGATAGGAGCGTGGTTGTTTCAAATGATGCAGCCTCGTCATTAATGTAAGCATGAGCTGCATTAAGACAAAAAACAACTTGATTTACTGGCTTTCACTCTCAGAAGTATCAGGTGTGATCAAATGATACGAGGACAAGGTTTACAAATACAATTTAACATTCAGACATCAATGTAGACAAGCTTATACCTCTTATTCAAAACGATCACTGTAACCTTGGTTTTAACTCATGTTACCTTTTAACCAGTTGTACTATCCTCTTTGAAACACCCCTGACTTATGAAATCCTCACTTTCATGCCCTAAATATCAGACAGAATCAGAGAGCAGTAGAACAGCAGTGATCAACCCCTGCTGTAGCTTTGAGTGCACTCAGGTGCACTGACATTTTGTCATTCAAATTTAACAGAAATGAATAAAAACATTAGCTTATTGTTTTTGAGAATCATTAAAATTCCACCTCCTTTGCTTGATTGAGCCTTGCATGTCATTAAGTGCCAAATGTTGCTTTTGCTCCTGCTGTTACGTGGTCTTCTAAAGGACACAGTTTAAGGTTTAAACCAAAACTGTTCATATTGAAGAGACTTGTGGTTTCTATACAAGGAAATGGCTGAAAAAGTTCAAGACACCACTTTCTTCATAGTTTCATCATTCCTGCGTATCTCTGACCTGTGGGTTATCTCTGGTATTTGGACTGCAGAGGTCATTCAGAATTCATGTGCTTGAGCCTCGGGTCTTGTGTTTTTCAGCAGATCTGGTGGAGAATATGAGACATTTGGAAATTTGGATTACTTTTACCTCCTGGTTATCAAAACAGTTGAGCTTCCACTGTTCATTATATGCCTGTGGAAGTGCAGAACAACATGTGTTAACCTTCTTGTAGTTTACATATGTGCATGAATGTTGGATGAATTTGTCTGGTATTACAGCTTTCGACTGAGCTTGTCTTTGTGCAGGCATTTGGAGTGAAAACTGAAAGTATGCACACACACAAATGCACAAAACAATACAACCCAAATGCCATGACATTTTGCAATACATAGATCTCGTCCATAATTCATAAAGTGAAGAGCTAACAACCAAAACTGAACAGACGACAGACTGGATGTCACTGAGGGGTGAAGTTTTTGTCCATATTTGCATTTGCTGTATAAACAGACAGTTAAAATTTTAGCCATTTCCTGTCAATGAAAGAGACTCCTGAGACTCCAAGGCTGTCTGTGTTTGACCCTGAGTAGATGAGGTACGGTGAATATAAACAAGCCATCTGCAAACATGATTCTTTTTATAGAAACAAAACAAACAAACACAGATTAATCTGCCGAATAAACCAATAGATACAATTATGGGTTAATTTTTATGTAAACTTTACTTAGTAATCTAAATTAAACAGCCTCAAACAACCAACCTCCATACATCTTAACAGCATCAAGTTGCTATTCCAGTATGGCGAATTTAATCAGATTCATTTAAATAAATGTCAGCCAGTATTAAAAACCCACTCCCTTTATCATGTAAAGAGGGTTTCAAATCAGACAAAATGTCCTAAACACACACAGCTCTACAGCTGTAAGAGTGAGGAATATTCTAATGAAATGGTGAGAGAAACGAGAGTGAGAAACAGAATGGGAAAGTAGAGCAGAGGAAGCTTCGTGGCACAGAGTCTCATGAGGAGCTTTACTGAGCGTGCTCAACCAGCAGAGGATAAGATTGTTTGAGGAGCGATTTGTGGAGCTCAGAGAGGCATTTGATCAGGACAGAAAAGAAGGAGCTTTGGAGGTCAAGGCCCATCGTCTATAGAAACAGCCTGATGTTGGACAAAACATGTGCTAGAGTCCAGATCGAACAAAGAAAGGTGAAGCGGAGAGAGCGACCAAAGTGACGGGTAATGTACTCCAGGAAGCCGAGTGGAAAGAGAGTTGTAGTGATCGCTAAGGGGAGACAGAATTTATTCAAAAGCTCTTGACATAGCCAAGAGGGCGATGCTAACACTGAAGAAGCTGAAAAACAAGATCATAAAAAAGTCATAACTGGCAGTGAAATGAGAGAGCACTTCTGCGAGGAGCCATTGATGAGCTCCAGGCTGGCAGGCTCGGGAGGAAACAGGAGAATAAGTAGGCTGAGGCAGAAGAGTCTTGAAATGCTTGAACTCCACATGGCTCTGTGTGTCTGGAAGAGAAAGGAAGACACTTCATCAATTTTAAGCTGTTATAAAAGGACTAAGATTTAAGTAGACTTAATGCAAGTTTAAGAACTTTGGGCTCGGGTGATAGCTGGTCCTGAAGTATTGCTCCTAAAGAACAGTCAGGCCCTTTGCCCTTTACATCTCATAGGAACAGCTACTATCAGTTTTATCATCCTGGAGCAGCAGACAAACAATAAATCTGATATATGTAGTCAACAAACATCAATAAGCGCCTGTTTTCCATCAAAGCTGATTTTTTTTTTGTGCTGGCAGGACTCACAATGTTTTTTTCCCTGAATCTGAACAGGCTCTTACAATTGCTTGGTTAGTCATCCTACCAACTTTTGGATCCTTTCATGCTGACTGATAAGTCTATTCTATAACCTGGCTTTCTTACTTATCACCCAGCTATGTGAAATAGTTGGTTGTGATTGTTCAAAATCTTTGACTAAGATAATGATTTCTAAATAGCAAGAACAATGCCAGTAGCCAGAGGGCAGTGAACTGAACTGAGCTGCATCATTTTAACAACATTAAACATTGAGAAAAAAAAAGGTAAAGTATGACTGCATGGACAGAAAAAAGCAAAACATATAACTTAAATAGATTAGGGGAGAGTGGAGTAAGATGAGCTATTTTTGATATATCGGATCACTACTTCAAGGCAATCATAGTTTTGTCTCTAACTAGTGAATCAGCAAATATTTCAGGATGTTGTGCATCCCTTCAAACCAACAGAATGAGTGTAAACAGAACTGTCTTGATAATATAGCATGCCGAAAAAAAGTGGTCTTCTATGGTCAACTTACCCCGTGTATGGGGTCAACTTACCCCGTGTATGGGGTAAGTTGACCATAGGAGCAGGGTAAGTTGAGCCATATCCCTACTACCCCCCACTCTTCACCCCAGCTTACCCCACTCTCCCGTACAAGTATTTAAACTAATCTGAATTACAACACACAGATAAATAACTCAAAATACAAAAATGTGGCGAAATGAATTAAAACACATTTCCTTAACTCTTCCATTCCGACAGTGATCTAAACACTAAAAACATATTACTCTGGTTTAACTTCTTAAAACAGTTTAACGTGTTAAAAATCTTTAAAATCACTTAACAAAATGGCTCAACTGTGGTTCCTCCACAGGAAAGACAAATGTGAAAAAATATACGCGAAGTATTTTAAAAAGAAGCGTCCTTCACCTACTGCTAACCGACGATTGCTTCAGGGTAAAAACATACTGCCTGTTCAAAAAACATTTATTGTTCACAAGGATACAACCGCTATTCAATAAAACTCAGGAAATGAATCTTAGCAGTGTGACAAAAGAGTCACAAAACGATTCCTTCAGTTACAAATCAAGTTTAAGTGAAAGTTACATTACCTGCAAATTGTTTGACCACAGGTGTTGGCGTCCTGCTCATACGACAGCTTGGTTATTGACTGAACTGCGCATGTGCGGAACACGTTGCCATGTTCTCTTTAGCAGCTTTACAGAGCAGCTATCACACCATCTATTGGTATAGAGACGTAACGCCATATAAAACTATAAATAGGAGAGATAAGTTCTTTATTCCCTTTTAAGTCAACAAAATCCTCTTCAAATGAAAATTTGGTGTCAGGTTGGTTATGACTTTTGTCAGTAAGTAGGTAAATAAACAAGGTGATGTATGGTGAAAGGTGGGACAACACTTTCATCCCAAATCATATGGTATTGTATCATATCATATAGCCTATCTCTGGCTTACCCTGTCAGTGCACATGAAATGTCTCTTATATTTACTACTCGTCTGTCCGCGATGTGTAGATGCAGAAGGAGGCTCTGTGACACTGGTCCTCTACATCCTCTGTTTGTCTCTAAGTTATATTTCTTTAACGTCTACTTTACCATCTGTGTTACACCTATCTGATCTGTGACCTGCGAACCCCCAACAGCCAGGATGTCTGGACCAGGTACCAGAAAAGAGACACAAGGCCCACACCTCACCCTTTGGTTATCTCTGGCAATCCTTGGGAAATTAAACACGTTGCATGTTGGTGCTGTACTCCAGATACCACAAGCGTAACAGGTCCAACCTACCCAATGGGCCATGACCTTAATTGCACAAAAGGTTCTTCTTCTTCTTCTTCTTCTTCTTCTTGGGTTGGTGCATACTAATATGACAAATACTATCCAATTCCTTGTTGAAAAGGCAACTGGACTTGCTTCAGGTTCAGTTGCACTTTCAGTGAAGAATTGGATAACCCTGACCTGGATGAAAGAGAATCCACACAGACGTTATACATATTAGCAAAATAGTTTAATATGCGTTGAGGACACTTGGGTTGCCAGGGCTTCTGAAGGGATGCTGAAGGAAGTGTTGTCTTTTGTACTTCTGCACTAGCAATGCCAAAGGTTTCTGCTTGGAGAAAAGCCCACAGGTTAAGTATGAAAAAGTAGGCAGTAAGTGCAATAGTTATCTCAGCTGGACCTATGATCTTGCCCATATTAGAGTCAGGCCTTAAATTCATAGACATATGTGGCTAACAAATGATTCCAACTGGGTGCAGCAAACATAAAATAGGCGTGAGATTCTCTACAAAAAAGGGAGTTCAGCAGATTTGGCTGGTATCCAACAGATTACATTTTAAAATGGCAGCAAATGAGAGCGATCGTGTATGTTGGAAGAAAAAGCAGGATGCACTAGCTTTGTTCTAACATACCTTACTATCTGAAGAATGTCACGAGCCAAGATCGACTCAACATTTATGTAATTTTCTTCAATTAAGATGTATCATTTCCCCAGTTGGCCCTTGGTGTTCTCGGTTTTGTGCTTGCAGCCATACAAAGGAAAATTACTATTGGTATTTATTGTGTGTAGGCGTGTGTGTATGTGTGCGTGTTTGACCTCCTCAGCCTCAGTGGGACTGCATGGCCTGCCCTCTTAAAGTAGATTAGCTCGAAAAAGAACTGAACGCACCTTGTTGCCTGGATACAAAAAGCATCATCATGCCTAATTATCAGCCACTTTGCTCACAGTGAACAAGCTTCATCGCAGATTTGAAAACAACATATCATTAACAACAACAACCTATACAGAGCAGGAGAGGAGAGAGTGGGCGGGAATGACAGGAGAGAAGCAGTGGGTAAGATGAAGAAAGGTGGTGGAGAAGTGGAAATAAGAGCCAAGGGATGCAGGGTAAATTGGTGGGCAGGGAAATCAGTGTCATGCACATGTAGCGTTCTGATGACTGACACATTTCCAGTAGAAGTTGCAGACTGAGGAGGATTTTGGAGTTATGAGAACACAGGTGGACTTGTTTTTCATTATAATTATCAATAAAATGTTGTTTGTTAAAGAACCGAGGCCAAGAGACTCGCATAATCTAAAAAAATAAATAAATTAAAGTGATAATTATGAGAGAACAGCAAGATAGAAAAAAACAACTGAATAAAAATACATAAAATATAACCAGTTGGAAATCATTAAACGGAGGGAAGGACTGTGCATACACAGTGAATATCAGTACTCCGACTCTGAAAAGTTGCTGTAGAGAGGCAGACGATATAAGTCAACAAAAGTGGCATGACACTTTTTCATTGGGCTTGGGAGACCACTGGGAGTATTTGATAAAGAAAACAGAGTTAGGGGCAAGAAAGCATGCAATCATAAAGGGAAAGAGAGAGCAGTCCAACTCATCCCTCCCTCATTACACTCTGTATCTCCCTGAAGGTACAGTGGGCTGTAAATTAAAGGGAGCGGACAAGCGGGGAGATGTGGATGACTATGAAAGGGTATGAATAAGTGGGAAAGAAAAAAATCTGAGTCCAGAGAGGCTTGCTAGGACTTCAAGAAACACCAACAGTCAATAGTGGATAAAAAAAAAAGCAAGTTTTGTACAAACATTGACATTTATGGCTTAAGGGAATAAGTTGGGTCCAAAGTAGTGCCACACATTTATTCATATGAGTGGCCTGTTAAACTTCCTAGATAGGCAGGACACAATTGCACAACACCAATCGGTAGGTCTAAAACAGGCAAGGTTTAATACACGGCTATGACTATGAAAATGATGCTGGTACGAGGACTTTGAGGTACAACGAATGGCTATGTGACAGTGAGAGACACAAGGTTAAATAGAAGAGGTAATGAGGGTGATGGAAACAGGTGGGTGGAAGCAATCAGGATGCGGCTGTGACAAGACGGGGGCACGGCGGATCTTGAAATAGAGACAGGGGTTAGTGATTTCAAAGTAAAACAAGAAAGACATGACATGAATGTGAAAACATAGATGTGCAAAAAATAGAGGAAACTAAATGGACGATAGCAACATTTTTGAATTATCTTCTGGTGTTAATTCAATGTATACCAGCTGAGAAGGCTGGAACAGCAACACTTTATGTTAGTAGCAAGAAACCTGAAAACTAGTTAGTTATGCTAGCGTTCCAGCAGTAGATCTGTTTTAAAATCGCTGTGATTGGCAAACATAATTGTCAGTAATCATATAAATGTTACTTTAAGGTATTCAATTAAAAAAGTTCGACCCTAATACTGATCATATTTAACTGTCACATTGAAGCTCCCATAGAGAAACCTCTGGTTTGTGCTGCTTTTGGAAACCTTCCTGCAAAAGCAGTTATGATCATTTTGCTTATTTAGTGGCATATGGAAGTGTTTTCTTAATCAAATGTCAAATTAAAAAAAATCTCCTACATGCAGTTTTGGGTAGCTGGAGTCTGGCAGGTACTTTAGTGACTTACTTCTCTTTGTTTGTTTTGGTAGGTCACACAGAGGTGTTTGAAACCAGTCAGTTTTATTACAAGCAAAAAGTCCTGCTAGATGTTTTAGTCATGGTACTGGTAATAATTTATGAAAAATTAAACTTAAAATTCTGTAATTAGTCTGGCAGTAACAGTTTAAACATTAGCACACAGCTAACTGAACCTAAAGCTAACACCTGCACTCAACTGTCACTAATAGCACACAGCTACACATATCTTATCCTTATATAGCCAAATTCCTTGTATTAACGCAACCGCAATCTTTTGTTTGGTCCCAATAACACCAATTTTATTTTGCTCTTACCTGTAAAAGCATATTTATCACCACTTTAACCTCACATTGTGCATGCCACTTAGCAGAGTTGATTTCATCTGCATGCTGAGCCCAGAAATCAGTCTGCTGATTTTATTTCATAGTGGAACTTAAGAATGTTTTGTCCTGACAAAAATACATTAAAAAACTGTTTTGAAAAGGGGAAGGGGTTAGGAAGGCTCGAACATTTTATTCAACAGACTCCACTTTGTAATTCCCGGCCGCAAAAATAAACTATGATGGTTTTTACATGGGGACCCTACACGCAGATAGAAGTTTACAGAGATATGTGGTTGGTGATATGCTTAATTCTTCTCTTATAGCTATAATGTGACAATACATGGTCTATAGTTAAACATATAAAACATATAATCACGAAATGGAGAGGTAAGGAGGAGCAAGCTAACAGATACTGTGTAATGAGCAAGAACTCTGCTGAACCCTGAATGCTGACCTCCTCCTTTCATTCTGGTCTCTTCTTTGAAGTGTTTTTCTCCACTGTCATGGATCAAATCACCAGACACAAGAGAGGCCTAACCTAAATACATGAAAGCCCAACACTACCCTCTGTGTCTCTGAGTATTTCCTCATCGCAGATCAGATCTTCGAGTTAGTTTTGTTTCACACAGTAATTGCAGTGGAACATTATTAGCTGTTATTATAAGCAGTGGAGGAGGGTTAGCTCTCAGCTGTCTTTGTGGAAGCTGATTATGTGGAGGTTAATTTCATCAGATAAGGGTGCCTTCTTTTATGAGCAAAAGCAGCTGAGGGCACAAAGCCTGACAGGCATTCAATGAGACAAGGACTCCCCCTGCTGTTCCTTATTACGATTTAGTTTCTACTCCTGACTCCCACCAGTGATCAGTTCTTAAAGTTTTAATAGTCTAATTGGAGACTGACACAGGATTACATTAAACAGTTTTTTTCTTTTGTACAGAAAAATCAGATATAACATATCAAAAAAGACATAAGCATTAGATGTCTGCTCTGTGTCAGATTCTCTAAAGTGTTAGCCTTTAATTAGAGTTGCTTGTTTTTCTGTTATTCTTTGTAAAAAAAAAAAAGTGTATACAGGTGTCAACAAGCATCTGCATACTGCAAGTGTCCTAAAGAAGGAAAGTATAACTCTTGACAGCTCTAGCAAACCAAGAGGAAATTTCTCCAACAGGTTATTTAAATTAAAATGTTTCCGTCTTTCTTTTGTTTCACATTAAATCTCGCATCTTCTGTTTTTCTCACATGCACATCTCTGTCAATGTCAGCCAGGATGTCGGGGATGGACATCCCGTTGGGAAACCATAATGAGACTGGAATCCCTCCGATAGACAACGGCACCTTCCTCCGTTTCTCCCCAACCTCTTCTTCCACATCTGCCGCTGCCTCGTCACCAGGGCGCCAAGGCAACGTGTATGTTTACGTGTGGCTCTTCCTTGGCCTGCTGGTTTTCCTGCTGACTCTGCTCATCATCTCCCTTCACAGGCTGAAGAATATCATCTCCTCTTCCTCCTCTGTCCCTGACTGCAGCAGTGAGGGAGGGAGCTCCTTTACAAACATGGAGATTTGCAGCATCTCCTCTCAGAGATCAACCATCTCCTCACTTTCCACCTGAGTGAAATGGGAAGGAGCACATGCAGATGCACAGGCATGTGTATGTGGAGGTGCATGCATGCAAACAACAGACAGGCATGCCCAGAGTGTTTTCACTGTGATAAACAAGCACAAAAACACTTTGTCAGGCACAAGGACAGCGTGATTTTACACTTCTTGCATGCATATTAATCCAGATGATGCATTTGCAAAGGCACATGGGAATTATGCTGTAGCTCACAATGTAGTGGACATCCCTCACAGGATAAGAGTGACTGAACACTTGGTGTCTTATTTCAACGACTGCAGGCCGAGAAACAAAAATACGTCTCTTTTTCTGCAGGAAATGTAAACAAGGAACTATTATTTTCATCTCTTTCTTTTTGAAAAAACTTAATTCTTGTACTGTACTCGACATATTAACTGTAGAACGAATAACAAAGTGAGGCTTTGAACAGCATGTCTTAAAATGTCTGGCACTCTGCAAAAGCAGTATTACAGTCACAATAAAGAACACTACTTTGTTCCTTAGACTTTTGACAGGAAGTCAGCCTCTCAATGCAGATGCAAAAACATCAAGTGAAAGGGGGCATGAATAGTAAGATGACATTTTGGTTCTGAATGACAGGTCTAGCAGTGTGACGGATTACTCGCTCCTTCCTGTCAGCTCATATGGCGTCTGATTGCCGCCGTCTCCATAGTACTGAAGCATAAAAGCCCTGTGCAGCTGTCAGCCTCGTCTGTATCGCAGGCTTTAGATACAGTGAGGGCTGAGTTTTTCTCCGACATTGTAATACAATACATCACAAATAATGAAAAAATGGTTTTGATGACAAATATTTAGAAATGTAGAGACAGCTGCAAAACTAAAACCAACACAGGAAAAGGAATCTGGTGAGGCTCCAACAAAAGATGAACTGTCTAATCAGCTTCCTAGTACACAAAGTCACTTTAAAAAAAAACCTTTCTGGTACCACAGATAAGAAACATAATCACCTTTTTTCTCTCTAGTTTCTTTACTGAATTTAGATGAGAAAATATTCAAGTACGACCACTGGTTCATAATTTCAGCTTTTATTGAATTTGTGTGCACACCTGCTGAGAAGACTGTTTTCAGGCCAACCAAGGTGAAGTAAGCAAGAACTATACTGACTTAGCATTGGAGTTATACATATTTTACAAGTTGAAAGTGTTATTATTTTAGGTTGTGAGAATATGCACACAAAGTATATAACCCATCTTCATTGCCAACATTTCCCTCTCATCCTATATTTCTAGTTTGGTAACACTTTACTTGACATCTATCTTTATAATACATTATAAACATATGTATAATGCCTTATAATCACGTTATAATCACATTATAGCGCTGTATAACTGTAGTTATAAACACTCATAAATGATCATATTGCTTTATAGCAAGAATCATAACACATTATAAAGCATTTTATCATTACTTACAAGGTCAGGTATTATAATGTGTTATAACTGTTAACAACTCACTGACAATGCCCACATAGATAATGCATTATACATATATTTATGATGTGTTATAATTTGCTTATAAACTTGTTTAACTAACATTATAAACACTCATTAATTATCATAAGGCTTTATAACAATAATCATTACACATTATAATACCTGACCTTGGAAGTCATGGTAAACTGCTCTGTAATGTGTTATGATTATTGCTATAAAGCATTATGATCATTTATAAGTGTTTATAATGATAGTTATACAAGTTTATAAGCAAATTATAACACATCATAAATACATGTATAATGCATTATCTGTGTGGGCATTGTCAGTGAGTTGTCAACAGTTGTAACACTAACAAAAACCTGACCTTGTAAGTCATGATAAAATGCTTTACAATGTGTCATGATTATTGTTATAAAGCATTACGATCATTTATGAGTGTTTATATCTATAGTTATACAGCGCTATAACGTGATTATAACACATTATACATACATTCATAATGCGTTATAGAGATAGGCATCAAGTAAAGTGTTACCACAAGTTTCACAGGTCTGAATACATAGAAATGAAAATCTGACACTTTTTATATGGCCTAGGATTTTCAAGAAATGACCCAGTATTTGTTTTGTTTTAATCAATTCGCCCACTTTCAAGGGTGCGTCCATAACCTTTGAAGTGTAATGCAGAAACTCCAAGCACATGAGTTCAAGTCTACACTATCTCCTGACAAAGACAACAAACCAAATTCAAACATAAACAAGGCTTTGTATAATCAGTTTACTGTTTTTGCTGCTTTAAGTATTAAGGATTTGTTTGAAGGAGAAGACAATGCAGGACCGCCTTACAGATGGAGGAGGCACAAAGCTTATTATGGAAATGTAGAAAAACAAGTTGTTTCTTGTATGTCTGGCGAAAGGTCTGACTACTTACAAAGTAACACTACAATATAAAAGGTCTAAAATGGAAATCACAGCAATGAGATAATTCAACAACATAGTCAAGTGTGTCTTTAGCGAACCATTGTGACTCAAGAGTCCTTTGAAGTCCTCTTTTGAAGGATGATTCCTATTGGACTTGTGACTTCTATCTACTTCAATAAGCTGTCCTTCATGCCCGGCTCTCTCTGCTGCTTTCATAAAGGAAGAAAATAAAAAAGAAATATTGAGTAAAGTTGAAACTGTGACCAATAAATAGGCGAGTCATCAAATTCTTTGCATATTTTATTTTTCTTATCATGATTTTTTTTCAACTCACACATGTCATATTTTACATCTTTGCAATAAAACATGAATACAATAGTTTTTAGGGTTTCATAGATCCAAAAATATTTAACCTTTTTTTGGATACGTAAGTTGAACCTGTTGATAGAGTATGTGCATGTGCGCATTTGATCAAGATGGCTTCACACATACAGAACGTCTAACATTCCTCCCCCTTCACCTCGCCGCCATCCTCCTCCTCCTCCTCTTTCTCCTTTGTCTCTATCAGCTACAGAATCATGATATTGCTTACAACTGTGAGGTTGTAAAACCTAATAATCACACATGAGCTCAACGTTTTTTTAAATACAAACATCAATGCACAAATAATCCCGTCGGGGAAAAATGGACCTAAACAAAATGGCAGCCGACCAGAAAGAACCAAGCTAATAAATAATGATATGTGATTGGTGCAAAGTGCAAATACAAAACAAACTTTTACATTGATTTGATTCTCTTTTTTAAATAATCAACAAATGTGGGTAAGTGAAGGTTTTCCTTTGCGCTTTCAGTCTTATTCAGCTGATTAAGTCTCCCACTGAGCCTGAACCAAGACTTTATGTACATATTTGACAAAACAATCACCAATATACAAAGGAAATCATGTCAGTCTTCTGTTCGTCGTCCTCGGTGGCACTGGCAACACCTCTTCATCGTTACCATCTCCGGCAAATATATCACCATCCTTGATACCGCCATTTTTACCATTAGTCTCGTCAACATTTTAATAATTATTACACAATATTTTACATACAGCAAGTCATTAATAAATTAAAGGTGATAAGCGCAGTTTGTGTAGTGAAAGAACAGGTGTAGACTCTGACGGAAGCAGAGTCTTATTTACATTAAAATTAGACTTAAACCTGCTGCAGGTAAAAGAAAGAGAGTAAAGGAACATAAAAGAGAATTAAAAAAAAAAAAAGACTGGATAAGATTGAAATCATACGCCCCAGGTAAATTTGTGAGGGAGAATTTAAGATCGAGCCAATAGCACCGGTTTTTGAATAGTGGGTAGGGCTGGTTTATTTCTGACCATTTCTAATCAGACTACACACGATAGTGAGTGAAGGAGTCTTAATTTAAAATCCACCCAAATGTAACCCAGTGACTGAACACCCTTCCAACAAAAAGAAAAGGAAGAGAATGAGAAAGAAGAGAAGTACAAGAAAAAAAACAAAAGTAGATTCTTTGTCTGTGAAGCATTAAGCGTACCAGGATTTTCCAGAGTCCTGTGAGTGGTACCGGTATGATCGACCCCTACAAGGTCTGCCTGACTTGCTCTTTTTCCATTCTGCAGTCTGTCTAAGTTATGAGCAGGTTTTGGTGTGAATCCTCAGAGTATAGTGTGTCTGTGGTCACTCGCATGTGCACATTCACGTATGCACAGACAGAAGTTATTTCCACCAGTGCTGCCGCGTCTTCCAATCAAGTAAACTTCACATAGAAATAGAGCCTAAAGGTCCGGTACTTGTTTTGACTTCCTCTCTAGTTTTCTACGCGTTGCGGATACGCAGCAGAATGCATCATCTCCTCTCTCCTTCTTGTTCTCTTTTTCACCCTCCATCACTCTTCCTCTTCCGCGCTGTCAACCTCAGTACCTGTTCTGGTGTTCATAGTGCCAGCGGTTGAAGTCTATGTTGAACGCAACGATGCTGCCGGACGCCATGCCAGTGATTAAAGTTCTGAAAGCAGAGCACACAGGAAGACACATGAGAAAACCACAAATGACCCATAAAAATCACTTCAGTAACACTTTACAATAACCATAATTTATAAATGGTAAATATATAGTTTATTAATGTTTAATCATCATTTAAAAACAGCATATAGACGAATTGTAAATGGCAAATAGATCGTTTATTAATGTAAGTTAATAGTTACTTTAACATTAACAAGCAATGAAATTATGATTAATAATTTTCATTAATTGTTAATGGAATATTTATCGAAGGTTTAGGGTTTAAATATTAGTTGTAAAACATCTAGATTAAAATGTGTGTCAGTTGCACTTTGTAAATGGTTTGTTTTTAAACCATCTATAAAAATTACTTAAATGGTTTTTGTAAAGTTGCAACTGATGTTTTTAACACTTTGTAAATGATTAAAAAGTAGTTTATAAACCACCTATAAACATTACTTATATGGTTATGGTAAAGTTAGGGTCAGGGTTTTAAAATGGTAAAATTTACAATTTATTATGCTATTTATAAATAATGATTAAACATTAATAAACTATCTGCTTACCATTTATAAATGGTCTCTTTACCATTTATAATTATTTAAGTTATGGTTATTGTAAAGTGTTACCATCACTTCTTTTCAGGATCTCCACTGCACTGAATGTAAAACCCACTGACACCATTTATGACCAGTAAGCTCTCCCAAATGAAAACACCAGCCCTTAAAACTAGTGCAAGAGTTTGGCTGTTTTTACAATCCATGCCTATTTCTGCTCATCAGAGTCTCTGTTTTACCTCTGGTCATGTGAGAGGTCCATGGCACGGATGCCTGCGTCACAGCCCGGATAGATGTAAAGCTGTTTGAAGTCGCACGCTTGCCACACCTCGACGACTCCGTTATCACCTCCTGTCACCAGGTTCTGCCCGTCACTGCTCAACAGGATGGCCTGGAGAGAGGGGAGGAAGCAAAGAAAGAGAGGGTAAAAGAAGCCCAAAGGTCGAGGAAATTGTTTGAGACAGTATTTGTGTGTACACAGAGCAAAAGTAAGTGTCACAGTTGTTGTAAATATACAGAATGAATGGTTTCTCTCTTACCCGTGAGGAATCGTTGACCTCCATTTGTGCCAGCAGTTTTCCGTTGATGCTGAAGTTGCAGAAGCGGCCTCGCTCATAATAGATGATGCAGTGGCCCTCGCTGGATACAGAAATGAGGCGGGGCCGCTGACAGAGCTCAGGCCCCTCTAAGGCCCTGAGCAGGTCTCCTGTGATAGTGTGGACCAAGCACGGGCCCTCTGAGGAAAGAAAGATCAACACATGTATCCAGAAAATATGAAGAACTTTGGAAATTTGTGAAGTTTGTAAGAAAAGGACATTTTTAGGGGAGTGACAGTCAGCATGTTTGCACAATTACAAACTCCGATGAATGTCAGATTTAACCTCAACCTTTTTTAATGTATTTAGATTCATTGTGCAATTCTTCTAAATAAATTCAAATGTGAACCAGAATCTTTCTTTAGCACAGGCAGACAGAAGAAGCCGCACAAACCTTTCGCTCCACTGATGACCAACCCCAGCTCTGCACACACGGACACACACACCACCTCATGGTCATGACCTGTCAGTACCGCCCTCGGAGCGGGGTAATCACCTGAAGGAAAAAACAAAGTCAGAGACTGTCTGAAACTCCTGATGCCTGTAAAGCTGACTCCCAGGCGTGTAGTTCCTGCGTGTCGCCACTCACTGTTATTTGGGTTGTCTCCTATAATATGGTGTCTTCCACTCCAGTACCACAAAAGAAGAGTGGCATCCCTGGAGCCTGACACGATGTAGCAGTCTCCTCCGATGTAGGACTCTGACCGGGCCAGGCACGTCACCACATCCCAGTGACCAAAAACAATCTGGGTCAGCTTTCCTGTGCGAAGGAAGAGGAGGGAGGAAGAGTCAGTGAGTGCTGTTTACTTCACAGAGTGACAGAGGTGGCTCGGAAGGTCAGAACAAGCGGGCCGATGATATAAGTCGGTGTTGAAATCTTTGAACATATGTCATATGTTCTCTCATATGTAGCAAAGGTGATTAACAAACTGTACAAAACCTACCAGTTTCAGTGGAGTAGACCCTGAAGCTTTTGTCCCAGAAGCCGCAGACCAGGATGTAACGGTTATCAGCAGTGACCACAAAACAGTGTGTGTTGATTTGGATGCTCTGGTCCACCAGGTCTGTGATCTGACGCTTGTTTACGCCTGAATTGTTTGCTGAACGGGAACACAGGGAACAGGTGAAAAGGTTAATGAGGGAACAGAGATGGAACAAGCAATCGAACCTTTGCTCATCATCCATCACTCAGGTCACTGTTTTCACAGATTTCGCAGCGTGGGTCTCAGGGTTACATATATATATATATATATATATATATATATATATATATATATATATATATGTATTTCCCTGGTGTATCTGTAAGATATTGACCCTTAAATCCACTATTAACCTGACTGACCTCATTACCTGCTTACAGAAAACTTGCCTTTCCTGGCATTTTCACCAACTCCATGTTTTGTTGTATTTATTCTATGGATGTGTTCAAACCATAGACTGTATATACTATGGACAACTTGGTTCCACCTCCCGCCTGTATACGTATTTAAAGCCAAAAAGCTCTCGATATTTCTTCATTTCCTGAAACTAGTCACTGAGAGTCACTGTGATGACGCTCGGCTCAAACAGCGTATCCCCCCGGGTAAGCTACGCAATCCCTGAACGCCAATAGGCTGTATCAGGTGTCAATCATAGAAAACATGAACCCCCTAATAACTTATAAAAACGGAGCTTCACAGAAAAAAAGAGGACTTGAGCACAAACCAGTCTTACAATAACTACATGTCAACATCGCAAGCAGGGGGGAGAAAAATTTATGTTCTGTGTAATAAATTTCTAAAGTTTGTCCACAGCTCCATAAGCTTTGCTGGCGGAGGCGGGATTTATGACCTATACTGCAACCCGTCAACAGAGGGTGCTGTTCTCGGAGTGGCTTCACCCAGAGAGGAGGCAGATGGTGTCCGTTCTATATATAGTCTATGGTTCAAACAAACAGCATTAACAGAAATAATAAAAAGGCTAAACAACCTACGAGATTTTTACACATCTTACCTATGAGAGGGTCCATCTCTATGGGGAGGTGATGAGCCTGTTCCAGGGAGTATCCCGGAGCTCCTCGAAGGCCTGAGGTTGAAGGTTCAAACATTATAATCATGCATACACAGATACAAATCAATATACAGGAAAGAGTAAAAGCTAAATCCCCTCCTCACCTCGAATCACCACAGTGAGAGCTCTCTGCTTTACACTGCGATGTTAAAAGTAAACACCCATCAATATTAATGGTGAATCAAGCCGCCTCTGACCCTTCATAATAACATTATAAGACCAATTACATGCTGCTTGTTGTGCTAATGAGGTCGTTAATGAGGTTAATTAAGTCTTTAATTAACAAAAAATTTCTGTCAACACCAAGTGTGAGGATCAATTGTGAGTAAACACAAATATGATACAACCCTACAACAAAAGCAAACACTGGGGGGGAATGAGCCAACAGCTATTTTCAGAGCATTACAGGCTTCATTTCATGCTTATTGATGTGGAGCAATCAGTGCTAACATTATGAGCACCATGAGGGTCCCCTGAGCTCTGACCGGTTCAGACACGAGACACAGCTCTTCTTTGTTTTCTGCAGGATCAGACCACAGGAGCCGGCCTTGTCCCTTCATGCACACACTAATGAGCCACAGGCACCATTATGCTGGTTTTGCTAAGTCCAGACCACTTCAAACTGGGAACATCCCACAAGATCTGCAGTTTTGTAGAGGCTCTGACCCAGTCGTCTACCTGTCACAGTTTGGCTCTTGTTAGTGTCACTCATATCCTTATTCTTGGCCATTTTATCCTGCTCCAATCAACTCTGAGGATGCAACGTCAACTCGGGAAGGTCAACTTTTTCCAGAAAGTACATCCAAGTACAAATATTTTTGAGTCTGCCCAAATAGGTACAATACAACTAGGGGTGTCCCGATACAACTTTTTTACTTCTGATATGATGACGATATTGTAGCCTATTATAGCCAAAATTGTGCATGACAAGTTTTTCACTCAGCTGCAACGTCTTTTTCGGACTGCCCCACGGTTGACATCACTCCTACTCCTTGCTTCTTTGTTAGTACCTTAGTACACACTGTTGTTGTGATTAAATGGGCTCTGCATGCTGGATCTGGGAGCTGTTAGATCGAGGTGCTGGAGCCGGTGTTGCTAACCTAGTAACTTTGTTGCAAGATTTAGCAACTTTTCAGACCACCCGAGTGACTTATTTTCAAAAAAGTTCCTAGCAACAAATCTAGCGAGTTTTTCTGGAGTTTAGAGACCCTAACATGAAAGCAGGTATCAATGTTACTCCTCTCAATGGGGAGATGGTGCTTCAAAATCACAGACACATATAGATCACCCAGAGGAATTCTGGGTGGGGTTTGACAGAGAAATTATGCAAATTAGGCGACTTCTAGCAACTTTTTCAACAGCCACTAGCGACTTTCCTCACTGAAGAGTTGGCAACACTAGCTGGAGCGGAGTCTGGAATGGACTGCTTGTATCAGAGTGCTGATATCGGAGATTTTAGATGCAGGCCGAAATTGTTTTTTTGCTGATATCGATATCGTATCCGGACACCCCTGAATACAACGCTGTGATTTCAGAGTCTATCTGCTGGACAAGACCCTGCCAGTAACCATTTAATGAAGTACACTTTTTTAAGTAGCACTTGCCTTTCTTAAGAGGATAGGGCAGTGGATAGAGTGGGAAACTCAGACTTTGTGCAAAAAGCCACATGTCATACTTCAAACTGGAATTAGGCTGTCTGCTTTAAGGACTACAGCCTCTGTACAATGTGACTCACCCGCCAAACTGGTGCTTCAACTTCTTAAGTATCTCTGGAGGTAACTAGAGTTTGCGTATCAGAAATACAGGTCTAAAAAAAACCCAACATGAATGTATTTGTTGAGAGGAAAAAGCGATGTGAAAATAACTACATGAAACGGCCGAGGATTATCAAAAGTGTCCCTGATTGAACTCAGCTTCAGCTTCAGCTTTGTTATGAAACGTTTTAATGCTCCAGGAAATCCAGAGGAATAAATATCTCCTTATATCATCACCTTAACCTCTGCTGTTGAGTCTATTTGTCTGAAACAGCAGAAAGTTAAACTACAGAGAGTAAAGTGCAAACACACAGATGTTGGCTCGAATCAAAACACACTTGTATCAAAGTTTAATGAGCGCTTACCGACTGTGTTGTGCCAGCGGTTGACAGCGAACAGGCGGCTACATGTGACGGTGACGGCGGCTGGTATACTGAGGTGGGGGAGTGTGTTGGCTGCAACGTGAGTGACGGGGGAGTTTGAGGGGAACTTGAGGACCATGATGACGTCCTGCTGCATCTGATCCTTAAACATCAGGGGGCTCTGAGGAAGGAAACACTGGTGAGACAGACAGAGAAAGAGAAAGACGGAGGAGGACAGAGAGGAGGGGAGAAGGACGGAGCAAGGAGGGAAGGTCAGGGGAAAGAGGAGGGGAGGAGGAAATGACGGGAGGGACAGAACAGATGGGACAAGAGGGAGGGAAAAGGTCTATTAGTGGGAGCACAGGGTCAGAGCAGGTACACACACTGAGGGCAGCTCTAG